GGCTAACTTTGATCTGGTCCACAAAATGTCCTTTTCCATTTTTTTCAGACCTGGATGATTCCGGAGGTGGGCAGATGTAAATGGATGCAAGTCTATTTACATTCGTCTGTCCATAGGGCTGCATGGAGCTCCCAAACAGATCCACCTGAAAAACTAACAGGCAAACCTGATCAGAATGCCTATGTGAAAGGGTCCTTCCACTAAACGGGAATTTTTGGCCCATTGCTAAAAATACTGGTTCTCTGGTTGTCTAGCTAATCTTATGGTTTTAGTACTTTTTCTATATCGGAACAAGTATGCACCTCAGGGGTTCAGCGTTCAGTCTGATTCCCTTATCCTAAATGATAAGAAAGATGAGACACCCTAATGTAGATTATACTGTAAAAAGTATACAGTCTCTCAGTAAGGAAGGCAGAAAATATGTAAAAATAATTCATTCAGTGTATAGGTGTTGAAGAGTAAAGGATTTGTCTGCTTGTGTCGGGAAGGTTTGTGTGTGTGTGTGTGTGTATGTATATGTATGTGTGTGTGTATGTATATGTATGTATGTGTATATATATATATATATATATATATATATATATATATTAGCTGATGGAAGTTAATGAAGTTGGGAGGGGTTTGGTGTGCATGGCACATTAATTCTTCCAATCTGGGGGATTTAGAGGCTTAGGGGGTTGTATTAAAATTATATTTAATGTAGTGCTGTCATATATGTAACCTAGGCTGGGAGGGGGTTAACATCTAGGGGCAATTAAAGGGTTAACTGTGTGCCGAACAATGTTCAATATGTACTGCTTTTACTAAAAGATGTGATTGTTTTTTTTCTCAATGCTTTGCAGAGAGAAGAAAACAGCCACATTGCTGCTCTTTGTGATTTCGCTAAGCCAATCAGCAGGTCTTGACCATAAATCTTTGACAGAGACCTGCTGACCAACTTTTGCTACACCGAATGACAGCACAGATTGAGCAGGGTGGGACCACTTATGCCCTATACCTGGAAAAGCTAGATCACGTACAGTAGATTGCGTTCTCTGTTCTTCTGCCTCAACACTGAGAACAACCTCAGCCCCAACTGACACACCCAGTTAAGCAAATGGTTACTGCACTGCTATTGGGAGCACAAATACAGATACCTTACACACAAGTAAGGTTCAGTATCAAAAAGCAAACATCAGACAGGTGAGTGGAGAATTTACCCAATATAGTGTCACTGGTTGCAGCAAATAACACTTTTCATAAATGAGTAAGTAAAGGATTAGGTCAATCACAGTTCACTAGACAAAATAGTTCACTATGCTATAGCAGCATAGAATGGCATTCTATGCAGCTAATTTAGAGTATGTCTGGTAATCCACAAAATCAGCAATAAATAATGGTATTAGAAAACAGTAACAGCAACGATAATCAATACTGCAATAACTCCTTTGTAAGCAGTAGGCTATATCTACTTTAGATTGATGAATGGTAGCAATGAAACTTTAGACTGCCTAAAGAGGTACCTCTTACTATGGACAATGGGCAAAGTTTTTGTGAAGCAGCTGAATGAGCAGTCTTTAGCCCTAGTTCTTCAGCTGCAAAGTGTTGGGGCCCAGTCTTTACAGTGGTGCACATGAGTACAGACCCAGTAAAGTATTCATGCAGTAAATAATGCTGCTATTTAGATGGCCTGTCCCTATGTGCTCAGTCTCTGCTAGCAGCAACAGGTTAATGGCAGCAGTGTCCTCTCACCAGTCTTAGTGATACAGCAACAGTGGCCTCACTGTTCAGATGTCAACTCACTTCTGGATCTGCCTGGAGAGACTCTGGTCCTCAGCACATGGCTGGAGGCTTGTAGCGGTTGATGTGTGCACAGGAGCAGTGATGTGCACACTTTAGTCTCCTCGATGCAAAGATAAAGTTCTTCGGTATTCAGCATGAGAAAATACAACTCTCTCTCCCCTTATAATCAGCTCGTACTAGGAATTGTACTCCAATAGTCCAAAGACTGTCATAGTAAAGTTTATTTCCCGAACTTAATCTCCCATGATTCAATGCTGCCAACCATCTGAGGAAGAGGCTAGTCATCGAAACACGTCAGAGATTTTGGATGTCCATCATTCTCATCACCATTCAGAAACGAAGTGCGAATTGGACAGAGCGGTCTCATATGATGTGCTTATATTCATGTACTTTTGTGAGTAGAATACCTTCTTTTAAATGTAATAAACGTATTTTTAAAGGTAATGCACAAGGCTGGTGCACCCTCTGTTTTGTTTCTCTCTATTAGTACTTTTGGACTCCCCGGTTCTTTGATGGCAGCAAGGCGTGCATATTCCAAGACATTCGTTGTGTGATCCCTATGACATAGAGTCCATCCCTAAGCGCAGGAGTATTTGGGTTTTCCACTTTCACAAAACCATCATATCTCTTGAGCTCCTTCTGCTTGCCAGTTCACCATGGTGGATGAAGGTGAGGTAGTACTAAACCATTCAGCTGAAGATCATTGGGAGCACAAAGAGTTCTGCAGCACAGAGTCCTAAATCACTCTCTGACGCTAACCAAGCACCTGGCTACACAAAACTTTAAGCATTGCTAGTCAGAAAGGGGTTGTGGATTAGCAGCAGTGGTTGAAGGGAAAAGGTAGAACTAAAGGAAAAATATTTTGGACAGAGTAAGGGAGGGTTTTAACCCGTCGTTTTTTTTTTTTAGTCATCTGTGTCCCATTGGGGAGATTTCCCTTCACGTCCAGTCCCAAAGCCAAAACAGGAAGTGAGAGTAAATCCTTCCAAAGCATGGGAATCCCTGGTTGTCATCAGAACTAGTGTCCCCTTCTTTTCTATGTCCCCAAGACCTAAACGAGCATTGCTATGTTTTCTCCTGCAGCTGGGCTTTAAGCCCTAATGAATAGGGGACTTTGTAGTTCCAAAAATGCATTGAATGTTATTTTTCATTTCTACAATAAAATAAATATTTTCAGACACCACCTCTACACCTCCTAGATTTTATACAGGGCTCCAGTAAAGAACTTTAGTGTTTAAGAGCCACCTAGATAGAGTAATATAAGACTGCACTGTGCTCATGTGTCAACGTTGTCTGCCTTTTAAAAAAAGATAACCAAGACAGCAAAATACGTATCCACTTCTTTTTACAGCAGCACTGTCTAACAAAACACAGGACACCTGGAAGGAGAATGGCTGTTCAGTTCTATAGTAGATGAGAAGAATCATCAGAGATTTGTACATCATTCAGAGAGTTGGTAACAGAAGTGGACACTATGCGAACCTGAAAGCAGGTTGGCCGCACTTCAACGATGTAGATAAAACATTGTTTATTTGAATCTTCAGAAAAACAGCAACACAAACATACCAGCTCCCATAAGGGACAGAGGAAAGTAGACGCGTTTCACACAAACAAGTGCATAGTCAATGACTATGGCTAAGCACGTTTGTGTGAAACGCATCTACTTTCCTCTGTCCCTTGTGGGCACTGTCATGTTTGTATTGCTATTTTACTGAAGATTAAAATAAATGTTTTATCTACAACATCGTTGAAGTGTGGCCAACCTGCTTTCACGTTCGCATAGTGTCTACAATCACGGATCTGGCCAGCACCAATTGATGTGTGGAGGAGCCATGTGAACGTTTACTTGCCTGGAGCAGTTAACATTGTTACAGCTCACAACAATATAAGCGGACAACTTGGTGACTCCTTTGATTTTAAGGAGAGTTGACAATTCTGTGTCTAAGTCTGTTCTAATGTGACAGGTTTCCTTTAACCCTTTGTTAGCCAAGAAGGGTAAGTCATGACAATCAAAGGAGTAAAACAAGCTTGTGGCAGGACGTGTTTCAAAGTTGGTCAGCTGGCTCTGCTCTTTAATGGAGCAGTAATCTGGATTTCTGTAAGGCCACCCGATCAATTCTACACACCTCCAAAATCTTTCTGATCACTATCTGCCATGGTTCCTGGGCTCAGCCACCTCTCAGGATGGTGAGTTGGAGGAGATCATGTAATGTCTGTTCCCCAATTTCTATTGCTGTGTTTGAATCTAAAAGCTCTCTGCACTTTTTGGTTCAGAGCTGTCACAATTTGTACGGTAGTGGCCAGGTAAGCAGCATCTGCTTGGGCTGCATGTAGGGGAGACATCTAAAAGATTCCCGATGTCTCCAAGAAAACCAATCACCTAGTCAGCCCCCTTTGTGACAGTGACCGCTTGCCCTCCGGAAGATTTTACCCCCTTCATGACTAGGCCATTTTTTTGCTATTCAGCACTGTGTTACTTTAACTGGCAATTGCTTGCTCATGCAACACTGTACCCAAAATAAAATTTATATAATTTTTTTTCACATAAATAGAGCTTTCCTTTGGTGGTATTTAATCACCACTGGGGTTTTTTATCCTTTGCTATATAAATGAAAAAATACCAAATATTTAGAAAAAAATGTTTTTCTTAGTTTCTGTTATACGATTTTGCAAATAATAAATCTTTCTTCATAAATTTAGGCCAAAATGTAGTCTGCTACATTTCTTTGGTAAATATAACCCAAATCAGTGTATATTTTTTAGTCTGTAGGAAAGTTATAGTGTCTACAATCTGTGGTGTATACACTATATTGCCAAAAGTATTGGGACGCCTGCCTTCACAAACACATGAACCTTAATGGCATACCAGTCTTACTCCATAGGGTTCAATATTGAGTTGGTCCACCCTTTGCAGCTATAACAGCTTCAATTCTTCTGGGAAGGCTGTCCACAAGGTTTAGGAGTGTGTCTGTGGGAATGTTTGGCCATTCTTCCACAAGCGCATTTGTGAGGTAAGGCACTGATGTCGAACGAGAAGGCATGGCTCGTAGTCGCCGCTCTAATTCATCCCAAAGGTGTTCTATCGAATTGAGGTCAGGACTCTGTGCAGGCCAGTCAAGTCATGCATGTCTTTATGGACCTTGCTTCGTGCACTGGTGCGCAGTCATGTTGGAACAGGAAGGGTCCATCCACAAACTGTTCCCACAAAGTTGGGAGTATGAAATTGTCCAAAAATGTCTTAGTATGCTGATGACTTAAGAGTTCCCTTCACTAGAACTACAGTAAGTGGCCAAGCCCAACCCCTGAAAAACAACCCCACACCATAATCCCCCCCTCCACCAAAGTTTGCACTTGGCACAATGCAGTCAGGCAAGTACCATTCTCCTGGCAACTGCCATACCCAGACACATCCATCGGATTGCCAGATAGAGACAGAGTGATTCGTCACTCCAGAGAACACATCTCCACTGCTCTAGAGTCCATTGGTGGCGTGCTTTACACCACTGTATCCGACGTTTTGCATTGCACTTGGTGATGTAAGGCTTGGATGCAGCTGCTCTGCCATGGAAACCCATTCCATGAAACTCTCTACGCAGTGTTGTTGTGCTACTCTGTAGGCCACATGAAGTTTGGAGGTCTTTAGCTATTGACTCTGCAGTCGGCAACTTCTGCGCACTGTGCACTTAAGCATGCACTACCCCGCTCTGTCATTTTACGTGGCCTACCACTTGCTGGCTGAGTTGCTGTTGTTCCCAGTTGCTTCCACTTTGTTATAATATCACTAACCATTGACCATGTAATTTTTAGTAGCAAGGAAATGGACTTATTGCACAGGTGGCAACCAATCACAGTACCACGATTGAATTCGCTGAGCTCCTGAGAGCAACCCATTCTTTCACAAATGTTTGTAGAAGCAGTCTGCATGCCTAGGTGCTTGATTTTATACACTTGTGGCCATGGAGGTGATTGGAACACCTGAATCCAATGATTTGGAGGGGTGTCCCAATACTTTTGGCAATACAGTGTATATTTTAACCACCTTCCGCCCGCCCTATAGTACAATGATGGGCGCAAGGTGGTTCTCTCGTTCTGATAGGATGTCATATGATGTCCTACCATTCTCACTGTACATGCGCAGCTCAGGGAGCGTTCAGCGCGGCGATCGCTGGTCCGCTGTGTCCCTCAGACACAGCGCATCACGGAGAGAGTCGAAGATGTCGGCTCGGTCATGTGATCAGCTGTGTCCAATCACAGCTGATCACATGTAAATGTGTTATCGGCATTTCTCTCCTCTCGAGCTGTCACGCTGACAGCTCGAGAGGAGAGGAGAGGAGAGAGAGAGCCGGTAATTGGCTTTCCATGGAGGGGACATGTACACTGATCATCAGGGCACTGATGATCAGTGTCCCCTGATGATCACTGTGGCCCCAGAAGTGCCACCTGTCAGTGCTCATCAGTGCCAGTGCCCATCAGTGCCAGTGCCAGTGCCCATCAGCGCCACATCAATGCCACATATCAGTGCCCATCTGAGCTGCCTTTCAATGTCAGCCATCAGTGCCAGTCAGTGCCACCTATCAATGCCAAACAGTGCCACATATCAGTGCCACCTATCAGTGCCAGTCAGTGTCGCCTATCAGTGCCAGTAAGTGCCGCCTATCAGTGCCAGTAAGTGCCGCCTAACAGTGCCAGTCAGTGCTGCCTAACAGTGCCAGTCAGTGCCGCCTTCATTGCCAGTCAGTGCTGCCTATCAGTGCCATATATATCAGTGTCATGTATCAGTGTCATGTATCAGTGTCATGTATCAGTGCTGCCTTTCAGTGCCCATCAGTGATGCCTGTCAATGCCCATCAGTGCAACCTACCAGTGCCTCCTCATCAGTGCCACCTATCAGTGTCCATCAGTGCAGCCTATCAGTGCCCATCACTGCAGCCTCATTAGCGCACATCATTGAAGGAGAAAAATCACTTATTTACAAAATTGTATAACAAAAACTAAGAAAAAACAATTTTTTTCAAAATTTTCAGTGATTTTTGGTTTGTTTAAGAAAAAATAAAAATCCCAGAGGTGATTAAATACCACCAAAAGAAAGCTCTGTCTCAAACAAATGATAAAAATGTCATATGGGTACATTGTTGCATGACCGCGCAATTGTCATTCAAAGTGTGACAGTGCTGAAAGCTGGAAATTGGCCTGGGCAGGAAGGGGGTATATGTGCCCTGTAGGCTAGTGGTTAAAATTGATCAATCCTGAGATATTTAGTAACAGGCATGGTGAGTTTTTTACAGTTGTAATTTTTGTCACTATTTTTTTTAAAAAAGAAGAAATTAAATAAAATGTATTTCTTTCACAATTTTCTTTTACATACAGTCACCAGTGCAGTACAGCATCATCATATGACTGGTGTGGTGGTTATCTGGGATACTGATTAGTGACAAAATAAAATACAAATTTTTAACTATTACACTGTACAAATTATTTTTATTTAATTTTTTTTTAAACTTTTTTTTTTTTTACCAAAGAGGCACTGTACTACTCTGGGGGTAATCAGGGATTTCATTCATAACAGCTGTGCCTACTCTAGTGATGTTGTGATTGGCCCACAGCTATCAAATAGTACAGGGTGCTGTGATTAGCCCAGGTACCATGTGATAGCTGTGGGCCAATCACAGCATCACTATAGGAATCAGAGCTGTTATGAAAGAAATTTGTTCACAATTGCTTTGTTGACATTGTGATCATGTAATTGCATAGCAATCACAATCCCCTGGCAGCTCAATGAAGTGGGGTACTGTGAACTATAATCTGTTTTGTCCTGTGGACAGAGTGGTTGTGGCATGAGTGTACTGCACACTCCAGGGAGCATGTGCTTAGCAACGTATATTTAGGTTGCTGAGCCTGGCCATGTCCTCATCCACAGTAAAAATACTGTGGATAAGCAGAAAGTGGTTAAAGTTTTTTTTTTTTTCTTTTTTTTATTGCTGTCTGTGCCCCCATTAGAGAGATTCACCCTCTCTATTTGTAGTGTATACCATTATTATTAAAGTAATAGAAATTTCAAATTTTTAGTTGTCACTGCCAATGGGACACTAGTTGTGGTGACTCTGGTTACACCCTGGGATTCCCTCACTTTGGAGGGATTTCCTCTCATTTCCTGTTCAGGCTATGGGACAGGAAGTGAGGGAAATCTCCTTAAGTGGCAAAAAAACTGATAAGGGTTGTAACTCTCCATTACTCTGTTTTTCATTTGAAATGTTAAACACCTCTCCAAAACAATATGTATTTTCTGAAAGCAGAGGGCCTATGGAATAAAAACATAGGAGCTGCAATTTTATTCTGACACAATATTTCTGCAAATGTTTATGAAACCTATATTTCCAGTCAAAAAACAGTGAGATGCATTTTGTTGCACACAATATAAAATCTAAAAATGACAAAGCTCAAAACTGTGTACATCTGCAAAATGGTGAACGTCTACAATCCCCTAAATTTTGTACATAGGCGGTGCATTAAAATTCTTTTTAGTTCTTTAGATGTAAAGATCTAAAGGCAAAAATGCACATTTTCCAAGTGTGTGAAAAATTGTAAAATTGGTCTGGCAGCAAATGGGTTATAAAAGCTCAAAGTGCCATACAAGGCTAATTTCACGCTGATCCTAGCAAAAATGCACCCAAAAAAATGCACTGCGGGTGCGTTTCTGCCGCATTTCCCATTTAGTTCAATAGCGAGGTGCGTTTTTGGTGCAGTTTTTTTTTTTTACCTGCACCAGAAATGCAACAAGCAGGATTTTAAAAACACACCTGACCAGCAATGAATCAGTGTGAAGAGTTCCATAGGAATACATGGCCACACAATTTTCATCTGGTTTTTTAAATGAAACAGCAAAAGTAAAGCAGTGTGAAAGCAACCTAAGTCATTGAAAGTTCTTGGAATGACTTTAGTACATGAAGGAGCTTCCCTGCAGTCCACTGACATGATCTATGAATTCTCTGACACAAATAGCCTGTGAGCAAGTCCGCACACATACACCTGCTGAAGAATAATGGAAGAGCTGGGCTTCAACAAAATGGCTGCCGCGGCGCAGTAACATACTGCTTTCAAGCTACAGACCCTAGTGACCATCCGGAAGCGTGGGATTGCGCATGAGAGGAAGAGATTGCTGAGGGGCCGGTAGTCATGGTGACGGAGAAGCTGTAGTGCTTTGACGTTGAGCATCCGTCTACAATGGGGGAAAGCACGGAGAATTCTTATATTATTCGACCAAATTTCCAGCATAAGTAAGTGTGGAGGGCACATTAATGTGGATTGAGGTGCTTGTACTGGAGCTTGGAGGGGAGCTGATTTTTTACTCAATTCAATCGCATTGTCTGTTTTTATTGTCATTTCAGATTTCCATTTCCCATGTACATGTGTGTTTTCTAAAGACATAGGCTCCTTTCAGAGGGGGCGGATCTGACAACATGATCTGCCTGCTCAGCAGGGGATCTCTCAGCTGATCCTCACTGAGCAGGGGGATGACAGGTCTCGGTTATCACACAGTTGTTGCCTGTTGATTTCAATGGGATGGTTGGATGGAAACGGACCGCCTGTCCGTTTCCACCCGATTGTCATCCAATCCGATCCGCTGGACGGATGGGGAACGGACCCCGTCCGTCTGTTTTTGTTGTACACGATTGGATGTCGGCGGGGGTCCGCTGAACCCCGCAGGTCCATAGAAGTCTATAGATGGATCGATCGGGTCTGCCTGAGAAATGGACAGGCGTACCCCATTGGTCCACACGTGTGAAAGTGGCCTTAAGCTGACCATGCATGGGTTGAATTCCGAAATAATTTTTTTCAAAAATCTTTTCTAAGAATTTTCATTCAAATTTTGCACCAATAATGGGCCACAGCAACGGACGATTTTTGAGTGACCATTAAATTTGAGTGATCGGTCATGTTGGAAATTTTTTGAGAAATGAACAAATTTCTAATCAATGATGGGAGAATCGTGCGAGCAATGTAACTGAAAAAGAAATGAGCATGAGCTGTGACCTGGAAAGAAAAGAAAATTCTTGGCCATGAAAATTCTTTTATGTAGCAACATGAGGTGAAATTAAAGGATTGTTTGGTTCAATTTCTAAATCAATGGTGGCACCATCGGATTACAAAATGCACAAAATTTCCAATTTTCTAAAGAAAATTTGTTTGCAATGCGACCTGTGTATGGCCTGCATTCGTTTTTCTGGCACAGAGGTTTCTGCATAAATTATCAGTAAATGCTTGTGTTTAGATGCTTTTGAAGTGGAACTAAAGACATCATACAAAAACCTATGAGCAGGCAGACTATTTATCACATGCATTGTCTCTTCTGCGATAAAATTCACCTACCTGCCCGCATGCAGTCTTCTGTGGTGTGGGAAACTGAGCTACGCATGCACAGCTCAGTCACTAATCGCCGGTGCAGTTCCTGTGTGCTATGATGACTGACTGCTGTGCATGCACAGGACTTACATCATTCCTAAGACACCCAGAAGAAGCCAGGGAGAAGATGCCAGTGACAATGAGGGACTCCTTGGGGACTTTGGACCATTAGTGAGAAGGTAAGTATGAGGACTTTAGTTCCACTTAAAAAACAAAACGATGCATCTGCAAACTCTAGTTTTATATCCTCCTGCTCTGTTTTTAATCCCATAAATGCAATTTTTGCAGTCAGTGAGGCTCATGGTGTCAAATATGGGGGTGGAGATCATTCTCTGCTTCCAGCATTTGCACCAGACAGCAGAACCACATGCATGCATGCAGGGAAGGGCCAATGATGTCATGAGTAGGCAGAGCACCCTAGCGTTAGTGACCTTGGATTCACTGCCTGTGAAAAAGTGGGACTATAAGGCACAGCAGGACTTTCAGCAGCAGAACAACTTGGGGGACAGCAGGTTGCGCAGCATCTTCCTTGTGGTAGTACAGGTCTCAGTAACTCCATCCCTGTGGGCCTACCTGCCATGTGGAACTACTATTCACAGCAAGTATTACAGGGGCAAAACACCTTTCCTTGGCAGTGGGTGGGGGCACAGGTAGATTTGGAAGTAAACTCCTAGGGCAGTGGTGGCAAACCTATGGCATGCGTGCTGCAATGGGCACGCAGAGCCCTCCCTGTTGGCACGCAAGCCAAGTCACCACAGCTTTACCCCAGCAACTGAGCATTGGATAACAGCACACATGGGGGCCATGGCCATGGCCATGCTCAGAAAGGAGTAGCGGCTCCAGGCAATGATGTCACAAGCCGTGACTCATTAGCTGCGACTCATCCAAGCTTTCGCATGGCCGGTCAGTACGCTGCCAAGGAGATTATATATATATATATATATATATATATATATATATATATATTGGACTGGTTGTGAGTTTGCATACATTCGTTTTTATTAAAACAAGATTTTAGCTTGTGCTGGTGGTCAGTGGAACTTTGTCCCCTTGTGCTGGTAGTCAGTGGAACTTTGTCCCCTTGTGCTGGTAGTCAGTGGAACTTTGTCCCCTTTAGCTGGTGGTCAGTGAAACTTTGTCCCCTTGTGCTGGTGGTCAGTGGAACTTTGTCCCCTTGTGCTGGTGGTCAGTGGAACTTTGTCCCCTTGTGCTGGTGGTCAGTGGAACTTTGTCCCCTTGTGCTGGTGGTCAGTGGAACTTTGTCCCCTTGTGCTGGTGGTCAGTGGAACTTTGTCCCCTTGTGCTGGTGGTCAGTGGAACTTTGTCCCCTTGTGCTGGTGGTCAGTGGAACTTTGTCCCCTTGTGCTGGTGGTCAGTGGAACTTTGTCCCCTTGTGCTGGTGGTCAGTGGAACTTTGTCCCCTTGTGCTGGTGGTCAGTGGAACTTTGTCCCCTTGTGCTGGTGGTCAGTGGAACTTTGTCCCCTTGTGCTGGTGGTCAGTGGAACTTTGTCCCCTTTAGCTGGTGGTCAGTGGAACTTTGTCCCCTTGTGCTGGTGGTCAGTGGAACTTTGTCCCCTTGTGCTGGTGGTCAGTGGAACTTTGTCCCCTTGTGCTGGTGGTCAGTGGAACTTTGTCCCCTTGTGCTGGTGGTCAGTGGAACTTTGTCATCTTGTGCTGGTGGTTAGTGGAACTTTGTCCCCTTTAGCTGGTGATCAGTGGAACTTTGCCCTCTTGTGCTGGTGATCAGTGGAACTTTGTCCTCTTGTGCTGGTAGTCAGTGCAACTTTTCCCCTTTAGCTGGTGGTCAGTGGAACTTTGCCCCCTTGTGTTGGTGGTCAGTGGAACTTTGTACCCTTTAGCTGGTAGTCAGTGGAACTTTGTCCCTTTTAGCTGGTGGTCAGTGGAACTTTGCCCCCTTGTGCTGGTAGTCAGAGGAACTTTGTCCCCTTGTGCTGATGGTCAGTCGGAGCTCTGTTATTGTGTTTTGTCTTTTAAGACAAAAGATGTCAATGTATGGTTTGTTGGTATTCAGGTGTATTGCAGCGTTGGCATTTTGTGATAAATAAGTGGGTTTTGGGTTGCAGTTTGGGCACTCAGTCTCTAAAAGGTTCGCCATCACTGTCCTAGGGTAACCATCTAACAATGGGGGTTTTTGGCATAGTGCCCTCTTGGTTGACTGGGACCTCTGTGATCAGCAAAGGTCAGCAGGCCAAAGTCTCACAGACAGCAGAGAGGATGCAGGGGGTGAGCGGTCCCAGAAACCTGGACATTAGATCTTCAGAGAGCAATTTGGCAGGCGATGAGGGGGTGTTGTAACCTGAGAGGTTTGGATGAGTTCTGAAATTATAGAAATCTGTCCCAATCCTGGCCCGGGGTTTGGAATATCTTGGCCGGACCCTAGATCCTGCCCAGGCACAAGGGATTCTTCTTCTGGGGAATGTCTTGTCTTTGGTTTCAGATGGGCTTGCTTGGGTTTCTGAGAAATCCCTAATTTTGCCTCTGTATGAGAGTTCTGGGGAAGATTGTGACCTCTTCCAAGGTGGTACCTTTTGCCCATTTCATTCCAGGCCTCTACACAGGAATATTTTGTTGGATTGGGACAAACGCAATCGTTTGACTCCCTGATGTCTTAACATTCCAGCATGATTCTGTCTCTAAACTGCTGCTGGTGCACAGATGCTGGAGATAGGAAAATCCTTCCCCCCACCCCTTTCTGATAGGAAAATGTGGGAACTTGGTCATTGCAGGGGAGGTTGTTGCCCATCCACATCCTGGAGCTGAGGACAATTTGTCTTGCTCTTCTGCATTGGCCGGAGCAGTCAGACAATGTCACGGCGTTGGCATACTTAAATTATTAACAGACCGATCCAATAACACCGTGGACTTTTAAGGTACTCACAGACTTCAGACTTAATTATAACTATCAAAAGGTGGCATACATAAATCACCAAGGAGGCAACTGAAGTCGGATGACCCAGGAGAAAGTGGATCTCATCCTGTCTTAAGCAGAACTTCATTTTCCTGGATTGTCCACCTTGCACAATCAAGGGATTGAAAAATGGCAGGTGGAATTTCTCATCTATCAATAACTGCCTTTGGGAAAGTGGGCTCTACACCCAGAGGTGTTTGAAGAAAACTGTCGATGGTGGGGTACCCTAGATGTGGATCTGCTGGCATCCAGGTTCAATGTGAAGCTAGACATGTTCGTCTCCAGGAATACGAATCCTCAAACATTTGCGTTAGATGCTCTGGTGACTCAGCTGAACCATTTCTCCCTGATTTATGCTTTTCCAGCATTGCAGCTTTCTACCATGTTTACTTATCAGGATTCAGGTGAAAGGATTTCCAGTGATTCTAGTTGCTCCAGCTTGGCCCAACAGAACGTGGTATTCTGACAATGTGAACACGGCAGCGGGCAGTCCTTGGATCCTTCTGAATCGACACAGCCTTCTGTCACAAGGTCCAATCTTCCATCTTCCTTTCCGATTGGTGGCTTTGACAGCATGGCTGTTGAATTCATTCCTACCCTGCTGAAGGCCAGGAAGGCAACTTTAAGGAAGATTTACCACAGGACTTGGAAATCTTATATTGCTTGATGCGATCATGAAACCCACTAGTCTCACAAGTATGTTGTGGGTTGCATCTTATCCTTTCTACAGTCTAGATTGGATCTGAGATTGGGTTTGAATACTATCAAGGGTTAAATGCACCACGCGTGTTTGGGTGCCATTCATTTTTAACAGCACCTAAACACAGTGCGATTTTGCCGCAGGTGTCACATGATAATTTCAGAAAACCGCATCACACAAAGCTTGTTGCCCAAAAGAAACTCCTGCTCCTTTTGGGCGACAAGCTTTGTGCTATGCAGTTTGCCGCTGCAAAACTGCACTGCATTTAGGTGGCATTAAAAACTAATGGCACCCAAACATGCATGGTGTATTTTGCCTCTATTGCGGTGCGATTTGGAATTGCCAAAACACCAGATTTGAAAGGGGCCTTAAAATATTATTTAAGAAAATATTTTATTCTATAATCTGTCCAATTCATAATTATATTAAGGCCTTTTTCACATGGGCAGACCAATCAGGTCCGCTTGTCAGTTTTTCAGGCAGACCTGATTGGACCCTCCATTCTCCTCTATGGAACAGCGGGTGTAAATGGATACGTGTCTGTTTACACCCACCTACATACAATCCAGTCTGCTAAAAACAGGTGGATGAGGATCAGATGGAAGTTCGATGTGAATGGACAGGCGGTCTATTTACATCCAACCTGCCATAGAGGAGAGTTGGCTGTGTCTGTGTACGCTTTGCATAAACAGAGCGGACTTGGACCAGCCATCCCCCTGCTCAGTGGGGATCAGTGGACAGGTTCCCCACGGCAAGCAGACTCCCAGCGCAGTCCGCACTCTGTGGAAGGAGTTCAAGGGGACTAAATGTTGTTTCTGACATGCATGTTGTTTGCAAGTGAAAAAAGGCCTTTTTTCAATTTTCCTATTTTCTTTTTTTTGCAGAAAAAAACAAATACATTTTCGGGTTAAAAACAAATAAATAAATAAAAGCAGCAGAAAAATAATAGCTAAGGGAAGAAAAGAGCTGATTAGGGTTAATAAAGGGTTCGCTAGCAATACAATATATCGACATTTGTTTTTATTTTTACTTGTAAGGTTTCTTTAACTCCTTTCTATCCGGCCTATTGTATGATGATGGCCGAGCGGGAACTCTATTATCCTGGATGGACGTCATATGCCCCACTGGGCACTTTCCAGTGCGATCTGTCACTGGCTGTGTCCACGGGACACGGCCGATGACATCACTACACTGGCCTGCTGCCAATGTCATGTGATCGCTGTGACTAATCACAGCAGATCACATGACACTTGTAAACCATGAATGGCTTGCTTACAACTGTGCTGCGAGCTGTGATTGGTCACAGTGATCACATATACAGACTGGGCCAATCACAGCCCATCTGTAGCATGTGTTCAGCTATGGCTGATCACAACAAAAATTACTGAATTAATCAGTTTCATTTAGTAAAAATTGTTTGCTTATACCAATGTAATTTGTTGGTATAAGCAATCATAATATTTTGAAAAAACATCCTGATCACTTACCCTGAGTAGTACAAGTTTACTATGGTAACATTGTATTGCTCTGGTCACAGGAATAGAAAAAAAACCCAGTAATAAATTATAAAAAAAAAATGTAATTTAAAAAAAATAAAAATGTGTATTATTATTATTTTTTTTAAGATACTGTCACCAGTCAGTGTCCCTGATCATCACTGCACCAGTTATATGATGACACAGTACTGCATTGGTAACAGTGTGTAAAAAAAAAAAAAACTGTGAAAATGTTTTTATAATTTCTTAATTTTCTCACAAAATTATGACAAAAAATATCAACTTCAAAGAACTCACCATGCCTTCTACTAAATACCTCAGACTGTCTACTTTCTGAAAAGCGGTAATTTTGGGGGCATTTGTACTGTCCTGGAGTTTTTGGGCCTCAAGAAATGAAATCGGCTGTCAGTACATCAGAATTTTTTAATTTTTAGATATATACCATAGTTTGTGAACTCTATAACTTTCCCACCCACTAAATAATAAACACTGATTTTCACCAAAGACATGTTGCAGAATACATTTTGGCCTAAATTTGTATAGAAAGATTATTTAGTTGAAAAATGTAACAGAAACAAACAAATTCATTTGTCTTTTTTTCATTTATAGCGCAAAAATTTAAAACCCAGCAGAGATTAAACACCACCAAAAGAAATCTCTATTTGGTATTGTTCTGTCACATGTTCTGTCCCCCTTTGTAATGTACAGCGCTGAGTGAACTATTGGCGCTTTATAAATACTGTATAATAATAATAATAATAATAATTTGTGTGAAAAAAAAATGCTAAAAATTGTATATGGGTACAGTGTTGCATGACCGTGCAATTGTCATTTAAAGTACAACAGCGCTGAAAGGTGAAAATTAGCCTGGGCAGGAAAGGGGTAAAAGTGCCCGATAGGCCAGTGGTTAGTTACTATGAATGCATTTTATTGGTATAAATTAGACTACATTTTCTTTTCAGATTTAGAACTGCAACAGTAAAGGACTGCATTCGATCTGTCTTGAAGGAGGAACTCAAAAGCAAACAGTATATTCCAGAGGAGGTTCCACAACTGACTCGATTTTTGTCAGAGACAATAAAGGATAAACTGAAAGGTATTAAAAAGAATATGCAATATGCTAAAGTCACATTTGTTACTTTTGTATTACTAAAGAGCATTGATCACTAAATCAAAACGTTGTATTAGTATTGTTAAAATATTTTTCTTACTTTTAAAATACACTATATTGCCAAAAGTATTGGGACACCCCTCCAAAGCATTGGATTCAGGTGTTCCAATCACCTCCATGGCCACAGGTGTATAAAATCAAGCATCTAGGCATGCAGACTGTTTCTACAAACATTTGTGAAAGAATGGGTCGCTCTCAGGAGCTTAATGAATTCAAGCGTGGTACCGTGATAAGTTGCCACCTGTGCAATAAGTCCATCCGTGAAATTTCCTTGCTAATAAATATTCCACAGTCAACTGTCAGTGGTATTATAACAAAGTGGAAGCAACTGGGGCCAATAGCAACTCAGCCACGAAGTGGTAGGCCACATAAAATGATAGAACGGGGTCAGCACATGCTGAAGCGCACAGTGTGCAGAAGTCGCCAACTGTCTGCAGAGTCAGTAGCTAAAGACCTCCAAACTTTGTGTGGCCTTCAGATTAGCACAACAACACTGCGTAGAGAGCTTCATGGAATGGGTTTGTATGGCTGAGCAGCTGCATCCAAGTCGTACATCACCAAGTGCAATGCAAAGGGTCAGATGCAGTGGTGTAAAGCACACTGCCACTGGGCTCTACAGCAGTGGGGACAAGTTCTCTGGAGTGACGAATCACGCTTCTCTGTCTGGCAATCCGATGGATGTGTCTGGGTTTGGTGGTTGCTAGGAAAACTGTACTTGCCTGACTGCATTGTGCCAAGTTTAAAGTTTGGTGAAGGGAGGATTATGATGTGGGGTTGCTTTTCAGGGGTTGGGCTTGGCCCCTTAGTTCCAGTGAAGGAAACTCTTTAGGTGTCAGCATACTAAGCAATTTTGGACAATTTCATGCTCCCAACTTTGTGGGAACAGTTTTGGGATGGCCCCTTCCTCTTCCAACATGACTGCGTACCTGTTCAAAAAGCAAGGTCCATAAAGACATGGATGAGGGAGTTTGGGGTGGAGGAACTTGACTGGCCTGCACAGAGTCCTGAACTCAACGCGATAGAACACCTTTGGGATGAATTAGAGCGGAGACTGCGAGCCAGGCCTTGTCATCTGACAGTGCCTGACCTCACAAATGCGCTTCTGGAAGAATAATCAAACATTCCCATAGGCACACCCCTAAACCTTGTGGACAGCCTTCCCAGAAGAACTGAAGCTGTTATAGCTGCAAAGGGTGGGCCAACTCAATATTGAACCCTATGGACTAAGACTGGGATGCCATTAAAGTTCATGTGTGTGTAAAGGCAGGCACCCCAATACTTTTGGAAATATAGTATATGTGCATATGCTCAGTCAGGCTTGGTTTGCTTTTCCAGTTTACCTGTAGCCGTATTTGCATGGGCAAAGCAGCCCACTCATTTGAATGGGCTGCTGTATATACGGGAAACCCATGAAAAGGTCACCGTTTCTAAAATCGTAGCCACATGAAAACCACATGGCGCTATGCAATCCCCAATCGTCTACTAACAGTGGCTCATTTTTGGTGTGGGAAAGTGCGTGATTTACATGTAGTCCTTCACCGCACACATGTGAACCTAGCCTCAATCCCTGTAGCTGCAGTTGATGTTTTTGGCTCTTCATAGCAGCCAGCATGGGAAGTGATGCATCAACTTCCTGGTGATTGCCAAAATGAAAGAAAAAATGAATTCCCCGGGTACCTGTTAGAACTGTATGTTCTAGGCACGTCTAAAGGACACTGGTGTAGACCTCAGCTATGCAGAACTATGTTACAACTGTATGTTCTAGGCACGTCTAAAGGACACTGGTGTAGACTTCAGCTATGCAGAACTATGTTAGAACTGTTACAACTTCAGCTATGCAGAACTGTTACAACTGTATGTTCTAGGCACGTCTAAAGGACACTGGTGTAGACTTCAGCTATGCAGAACTATGTTAGAACTGTATGTTCTAGGCACGTCTAAAGGACACTGTATGGTGTAGACTTCAGTTATGCAGAACTATGTTAGAACTGTATGTTCTAGGCACGTCTAAGGGACATTGTATGGTGTAGACTTCAGCTATGCAGAACTATGTTAGAACTGTATGTTCTAGGCATGTCTAAAGGACACTGTAATGTGTAGACTTCAGTTATACAGAACTATGTTAGAACTGTATGTTCTAGGAACGTCTAAAGGACACTGTATGGTGTAGACTTCAGTTATACAGAACTATGCTAGAACTGTATGTTCTAGGAACGTCTAAAGGACACTGTATGGTGTAGACTTCAGCTATGCAGTCTGCCCGTCAGTTGCATGTTTACATTCTATCAGACCTGCTTCTAGTACAGTAACCAAGAAACTGATCAGCACAGATAAAGTTTGCACCACCCAAAAGCCAACAGGAAGGCAGGAGGTGGTGGATTCCCTATTGGATCACTTCACAATATTTCACCGTGATTGCCGTACTTATATCCTTACGGACAATTTATAGCTCTTACTCCACTGATATTTTATGGACTTTATATATTCTCACTTTTATGCTGTATGTTACTGTTTCACATTTATTGAATGATTTATTGAACATTTTTATATTTGATTTTTATATTCTGCACTTGACTCTTCCGCTGATCAATTTTTTTTTTTTTTGTTTATACATCAGATTGACTTTGCACTTTATTTTCACTATAAGATCATTCACTTATTTTAGTGCTGCACTTTATATATATATTTATCCATAAGGAGTTGTTACCTATACCTTGGTGCTAGATGCTTTTAGTTCCAGAGCTCGCCTACGCTTGATATTTCTATTTAATGTAAATGGACATCTTATCAGTTGCTGCATGAAAATGTCCATTATTAGTACTTTATTTTGCTTAAAGTAGATGTAAACCCTATCTGACTGACATTTAGTTTACTGAATGTTGTGTATCAATAAAGGGCTTGACAAATTTGCTTTAAATCTAGGAGCCAGCTAAAAAATTAGGAGCCAGTTTTTTTTTAACTAACAAAGCTTTATTTTCAGTGACAAAACCCCTTCTCTTATGTATCCCTGATGTGCATCTTTACAGATGTACGACACAGGTTTACACATGAAGAAGAAAAGAAAACTTTAGCTCTGCTGCTAAAGCTTTGTTTTGTTTTTAGATATAAACTTTCACCCCCTTCCTGCCCACGTCAATTTTCAGCTTTCAGCGCTGTCATACTTTGAATGACAGTTGTGCAGTCATGCAATACTGTACCCAAATTCAATTTTTATAATTTTGTGAGACAGATAAAGCTTTCTTTTGGTGGTATTTAATCACCACTTTGTTTTTATTTTTTGCTAGACAAACAAAAAAAAAAAGAACATTTTGAAAAAAAAAGGGTTTTTTTTAGTTTCTGTTAGAAAGTTTTGCAAATATGTACTTTTTCTTCTTCACAGATGTGCACTGATGAGGCTGCACTGATTGCACTGATGGGCATTGATGAAGCTGCACTTATAGACAGCACTGATGGGCACTGATAGACGGCACTGATGAGCACTGGTGGGCTGCACTGATAATCAGGACATGTGTCGGCTGCCGGCTCCTTAACAGCCTGTTATTCACTGGTTGTTAAGGATGTCGGCAAGTGCTGACTCCTAACCAAACAACTAGTTATTGTGTATATTTGTTAAATAATGCTTGGCTAGACCACTACTTATTTAACAAATGGATTTTGTTTCCTCTTTTTTTCTTTTTTTTTTTTCAATTGACTCTCAGACAGGTTCATGCAGTATTTACTAAGCGGTTTTTATTTTTACTGTAAATACCACATAAACCTGTCATGAATTATCATTTTCCATATTGCATGTGATATGGAGCCTAGTGATTGCAGCAATTAGCTCAGGTTATTTAAAAAAAATATGTATATTAAAGTTTAAGATAGAAATAGAGCTCGATAAGCATTCTAGGAAAAAAACGATCAAGAAAATTATGGATACAATTATTGTCATATATAGCACAATGTAAAGCTTTGTCGCATGGAATGTGAAGAGAAAACTAACACAGAGTTTGGATGACTCCTAGTAGCTAGTGTTATGTTATATACAAATAACAACAAAAACAGGTTATGAGTCACTATGTTAGCATTACTACAGTATTAAACTGACATCTAAATAGCAGAAACACAAAAAGGGAAAGGGATGCAAGGGCAGCTAGCCTTTCATTAAATCACAGGTCTTGCAGGAGGAAAAAGAGACTGCCAGGATGAAAGGCATTTAAATTGAATAACAGGTTTCAAGTGGTTGTGATTTTCAGCTTCCCCAGGGAGTTAGTCAAGCTGGCTTAACTAAACAGTAGTAGAAAAGGTATCTTGGGGATGAGCTGTCCCGTAATGTCGAATATGAAATATACAACCTGGTCCCAAAAGGCCGAAATTGGAGCACATGAGCAGAAGCAGTGATACAGGGCTTAGAAATCCCACATTGTGGGCAAATTGCTGAGTTAGAGGTGTTCCCAGAAGAAAGAGATGAGATATAAACCCTATACATCAATTTTATATTGAGTCTCTCTCCACAGTTCTTTGGTAATGCATTTCAAATAACCCTCCAAATCATGTCTCCCATGCCATCCTCAGGAATGTCCTTGTGTCATCCTTTAAAAATGGTGTTGGGTGAGATAGTATGAACAGCCAGATGCAGAGATGTGTAGACATCAGAGATGGAGTATGTGCCTTTGATGAGCAATTGATCCAGTAGTGAAAGAATCTTTTTTTTTATGTATCCTGGCAGCAAGAATTTATGTAGGAGAGTGCCTGGGGATAGTATAAAAGATACGTGTAAGGGAGTTGAAACTCAGATGATATTCGATATTGGAAAGATTTCCATGTCATTGTGTCCAGATGGAACAAGGAAGTTGCTTTTGTCAAGCATTTTGTGTGTCAGACCCCATGTGCCTTTTATTCTGTTGCTTGTGGAAACATCGGATTGTCATGAAGAGGCCAGGTGTTTTAAGGGCATGATGGGATATGCATGCCTAAACAGGCAAGGGTACTTGTGTAGGCTTGGAAAGTCCTTGTCATTTTTACTAAAAGGGAACGATATGACCACTCTTTGTGACTGTAAAGCTGCAAGGAATTGTAGTGAAAATTTCTGCTTTTTGTGAAGCTGCAAGTAGGAATGGGTACTAGGAAGGAGAAGAGAGAGGACAGTGATAGAGACTCTTGTCTACCTGTACGAACGACGGCATGAAGTAAAAAGGCCAGGACATTTCTGTTCTAAGCTGGAGCCTATGTCAGTAGTTGTCCCCCTACCTTCAGGGGTGTAGGTGAACCTTTAATGTGAAGAAGGCTTCTGAGCAAGTCCACTGGGCTTAGAAGTGGGTGGTCTGCAACAAAAGGATAGACTAGCAGAAGGTGATAACCCCTGGAGAGGGCAAACAGATCTTAATCCTAAGGTAGAGGCAGTCACATCAATAAGAAGTATAATTGTGGATGGTAGGGTAGGAACCTCTTCCCCCGTCCATAACTGCCTTAATTCCTTAAAGCAGTAGTAAATACCGCTTGAACACTTGTACCAACCGGTAAGCTTATGATAAAGCTTACCTGTAGGTACAAGGAATATCTCCTAAACATGCACTGTTTAGGAGATATTCACTGTTTCTGCAGCTGGTGTCATCGCTGGCACATGCACTCGGAAGTATGCCGTCCCTTCAGAGCTCTATGCCGTGGCCTTGACTCCCGTGCACAATGGCTTGTCCATTCAAACGGATGGGGCTCAAACCCAGAAGGAAGACCAGGTGAAGATGGAACCCTGTGAGTGGTGACAATGCGCTGCTGGAGGGCTTCATTTTAAGGGAAGTCTTTCGTAATGTGTTTAATATGCGATGCATACTAGCATATTATGAGATTAGCTTGCAGATGACCAATTTTTTTTTTTCATTACTATTTACTACTGCTTTAAGAGATTTTCACCTTCAAAGGGTATGCACAAAACACACTTGTTCTAAGCAGGGTCAGCTGACCAAGCTCTAAGCCAAAAGATTTTGTGCATAGAAAGAAAGGACATTCTGAAGATTTGACAAATCACATTTTCCACTGCATCTATGCAGAATGGTAGATCCAAGGGCAAGAGCTGTAATCTTGCAGACAGCAAACTGTCACCTGAAACAGATAGCTCTGTAGTCTTGGCAAGAGATGAGGTGGCAATATCCGGCTGCAGGGACTGGACCAAAACATAAATTCAGAAGTCTCTAAATGCCTATCAATGCCCCCAGTAGAAACAGTAGATTGATTATTTAGTGCAAAAATGATTGGGTCCACAGTAGGAACAGTCCATTTATTTTTCAATTCTTCTTCCAAAGAGTACAAGGCAGCAAAAATGTCAGGAAGAGTGAATAACCTGTTGGAGTAGGACCAGTCATTATATATTGCCAAAATGCCTTGAACAAAAATAGGGAAAGGCCTTCTTTTTTGTGCCTGTAGGCACATGTAGAAGCTGAGCGGAGCTAAACATAGGTAGCCAGAGATGAGTTCATTGTAGCCAGGATTTGGTGAGAAGGTGAAGAATTAACCAACATTGTTGGTCCCATCCAGTCTTCACCTGGGTGACTTTGGAATGGACCTGGACATGTATAGCACCCTACTGCTAACTCACTTGTTGCACAGTATACCAAGGTGAGTGCTGAATGCAGGTTGTAGTTCCTGAAGCAAGCATTACAGCCCCACTGTTGCATGGTCCAAACCTGGTTTCCAAAATGTACATTAAGGGTAACTGATTTAGCACTGCTAATGAGCCATAAAGCAATAAACTGTCAGATCTTGATAGAAATGTCAGTTGAAAAAGAAAGAGAAGTTGGTGCAAAATAGAAAAAAATCTTCTCCAACAGGAGAAGTGGTCCATCACCTAAGGACACTAGCATAAAACTGGAATTCTATGGAGTTGGCAAGGTATTATGGATACACAGGTGGAGGTTCCAGCACCTAAAGGTAGCAGCATAAAACACATGGTCTATGCATCAATTCCTGTGTTCTGTACTGTATGATTAAGATAAATGTCTGTTGATCAACCCAGAAATTCAATACGCTTCTAACTTCCTGCAGAGAGTTGACACTGTTATCAGTCCTGCTGAGTTCTCTTGTCCCCCTATGATATAGAGAGGGGGAGAATTTCTGTAATCCTAGCACACCTTCTTTCCTGTAGTGACAACACTGCTTCTCCATAGATACAGTGCAATGAGTAAATGTAGCCACCCTGGGACAAGAAGTGCCATTGGCAGTATCACCAGGTGAACATAACGGGGAAAAACAATGCCCGAAAACACAGAAGCTAATATGGTCTCCACATATAATGACTGGCAAACTGCATTACACTACATTTGTTTTTTGTTCTTGGGTTTACATATATTTAATGAAAGCTGAAGATTTTTAAAAGATTGAAATTTACTTTCGACGTGATGTTAACATATTATAGTTCATATGGTAGTTTAGCGACTGAGTTTATATTTAGTACATTGGGTTTACATCTACTTTTACACTGAATGGGCTACTTTATGATTGTAAAATGTTAAAATGGAACCCCAGCATTATCATGCCACCAGCATCCCTCCATCCCTACCCCCCGTGTGTGACCAATGAGGACCAGCAACTCTGAATCGAGGAAGGAGGAGGCCAGGGAAAGCGCTGGAATGTGGAGAGGGTAAGTAGCAATTGACAATATATTTTTCCTATACAGGAGGGTAATGTAAAAATTAAAAACAAATTGGAGTTAAAATTAATTATCATAATTTTCTTTTGTTATTCCCCACAGAAATGGGTTTTGATAGGTATAAGATGGTGGTTCAGGTTGTGATTGGTGAACAGAGAGGTGAAGGAGTAAAGTAAGTGTTTTTATGTTACCACTGTTCAATATAATTGATATTTTTGCTTTACTACTTACAGTATTACATTCTCTCCAGTGGACACTAGACCTAGTTTACTAGAGTTTGAACTGCTAGAAAATGTACATCTTTAACACCAAAGAAAATTACAATGTATGCCTTGGGGTATTTGTAAAGTGTGTACATTTTCTGCTGAGTGTATCAAAGTGATCAAAGTACTACATGGTTTTAAAATAAACCTTTTGTTGTCTACAGTTCACAGCTTATCAGGCGTTCAAATCTTTAGGCTTTGAAAATAGGAATGCCCTATTTTTTCTGTCAAAGTACCCAAGAAGGTGATTGTGTCACATGCTGAGAACCACAGATCTAATATTTTTAAAGTGTATTATAATATACATCATTTAGTGCAGTGCATATTGCTATAAACAGTATAGATAATTTAATTGTTAATTCACGCTTTTTGAATTAAACCCCTTTCATTGAAACAGCAAGCACTGCAAGACTTCGTCAAACTGACATTTGGAAGTATGTAGAGTTCTGTGGAGTATGTCAACCATTATTATTATTATTAGCAAAATGGGTGTGTGAGAACTGAAAATATCAGTTATATGGCTTAAAGTAACTATTGTTAAGGCCAAATAACACTTGCATTATAGTTTAATGAATCACGCCTTATGACAGTCTTTCTGTGAAAGAGTTTTGGTGTATTAAAGGGAATCATTTTGATAGTCACCGAACTTCTAGCATCCTAAAATCCTTATCATTTAGTCACCGAACTTCTCCTAGAATCCTAAAATCCTTATAATTTACAGGGAGAGTATATTTTCCTATAAATAATACACCTCAATGTTCCACCTGTATATTTATGTCATTTCTGCCTGTATAAACAAACATTCTGGTGTCAAAACATGTCTAAACAGTCTGACAGAAATGCCACCTTCAATGCTGATGAAAGGGGAAAATGGTCTATTTTCAGATTTTGTTTTGTGTTTTCTTAGTACCAGAATTATTCTTATTTTAACTGGCATTCATCGTTTTATGTCTGTTTGTCTGTATTCCTTTGTCCCAGATAATATTTGTCATTGTCTGACTGTCATGGTTTGTGTCCATGTCTTTTAGTCAGTGTGGGAGATTTAGTCTTGGCATAATAGTAGTAGAAATAAAAAAAATAAAAAAAATCACCAGCGTCAAAAAATATTGTGAAATAATTCCCAAAAATACTGCTGCTCCTTAGTGATAATACTAATAAAATAAGAAAAAAAAAAACCATATAAACCACCTTACCAACCGCTCCGTATCCGCCATCACCCTCAGTCATTCCCTCCACTGGCTTCCGATTGCCCAACGAATAAAATTCAAACTACTAACATTGACGTACAAAGCTATTCATAATACTGCCGCAAACTACCTCACCGACCTGATATCCAAATACCACCCAACACGTACTCTTCGCTCCTCACAAGACCTCCTACTCTCCAGTTCCCTGGTCTCCTCCTCCCATGCCCGACTCCAGGACTTCTCTAGGTCTTCCCCCATCCTCTGGAACTCACTACCCCAATCCATCAGACTGTCATCTACCCTCCTCACCTTTAGGCACACCCTGAAAACCCATCTCTTCAGGGAAGCCTACCCCGCCCTCACCTAACAACCGATCTCCTCCACTCCTCCTACCACTTGATCCCCCACAGTCATTTCCTCCTGTACCACTATCCCCTCCCTCCTAGATTGTAAGCTCCAAGGAGCAAGGCCCTTGAACCCCTTATGTATTGTTACTGTATTGTCTCATGTACTGTCCCCCACTATAATGTACAGCGCTGAGCAAACGTTTTGGCGCTATTTAAATACTGTATAATAATAATATAAAAACAGCGCAAATAAATATTATATATACATGTCAAAAAAAACTCAAATGCAGAAAAATATAATAATATTTTGTTGAGATAGTCCCACTCCAAGTAATATAGATAGAATGTAGTGAATAGAAAAGTCCTTGTTCCAAGACCCTTGACCAGTATTCACACCTGCTTGTGTTATAATCACTCACTGCACTCACCAGATATTGGTGAATGAAACACCTTAAATTTGGACTCAGGAATCCAAGATCCCCTTGAATCAGCCTCCAATCTCCTGGTAAAGATAGAAATCCCCCAATTGTAGGTAAGACAAATGCCTCAGAAATCCAAACTGGAATTAAAATCAGCCTCCAATCTCCAGGGCCACCAAAGATCACTCTCCATATGAAGATAATATGTGCAGAGAAAATATATATATAGTGTAATACTGTAAGACTAAAACAGGATGAATTCAAATACCAAACCACTCACATCTTAAAAGAATGTAATCAGCATTTATTATATGTGGAGCCAAACCACCACATAGCCAGGGTAAAGATCTCACAGTCAGCGATAGATGACAGCATGTATAGATTGCAAGCTCAAAAGAGCAGGGCCCTTGACCCCCTCGTGTTTTGTTTTGTTACTGTATTGTCTCATGTTCTGTCCCGCACTATAATGTACAGCGCTGAGCAAACCTTTTAGCGCTATATAAATACTGTATAATAATAATATATTCAAAATGAAAGTTCCTCTCATTCACCAGTCCCCCTATGTCAAACAAAGTATATACCAAATAATGCAAAAATTATATAGCCTTATGAATCCCCTTCAGATTACTAACTTCTTCTGCCTATGAAGTTGACATGATGTATGCACTCCATATCTATGTGTGTTTCATACATGTGCATGCATCCATGTATACTCTTGACCCTAGGCCAGGAGTAGGCAACCGTTGAGAGGTGAAGATCTTCCTGAACAACATGGGAGAGATCAAAGATCACCAGGGTTCAGCGGCTTTTAGCAAGGCCTGAATAAAAAGTAAGGATGGCATGAAGAAAAACTTAGAAAATATAATAAAACAAATGTCACTAGATATATAAACTTAGTCTACCTTTAAAGTTAACTTCAGTGAGAAACTGGGGTCAGTAGCATGTAGAGCAGAGTACAGGGGTTGGTAATATGTAGGGCAGAGCACAGGGGTCGGTAGTATGTAGGGCAGAGTACAGGGATCAGTAGTATGAAGAGCAGTGTACAGAAGTCAGTGGTATATTTCCTCATATATCACCAATTTACTAGCAGACATATCACACTGGATGTCACACCACTTCCTAAAACTCAATATATCCAAAACTGAGCTCATAATATTTCCTCCCCCATGTGCCTCTTCCCATGATTTCTTGGTCAGGATCAATAGCACAACTATCAACCCATCCTCGCATGCCAGGGTGCTAGGGGTAACCCTGGATTCTGAATTATCCTTTCAGACCCACATCCAATTCCTGTCCAAATCATACTGCCTCAACCATTGCAACATCTCCAGAATATGCCCCTTTTTAACCAGTGATACCACAAAGCTCCTAATTTATTCCCTGGTTATCTCTCGCCTCAACTACTGCATCTACCTCCTCATTGGCTTACCTTTACATAGGCTATCCCCCCTCCAGTCCATCATGAATACTTCAGCATAAAGGATAGTGAGCGCTCTTATAAATACAGCAGCTAGAACACTTCAGGCAACCACAATGCCTCCAAAATATCAATATAACCATAAAACATCAGAGTGCAGCGCTTAGAAAAATAAATATGTGATTCACAATAGCAGAGAGTCAATAAAGTATCCACAGTGTTTCACTGGAGAAATGCGAAACTTCCACGGCCTTTACTCTTTCAAATAACAGAAATGCGCACTCACCGGAAACGCATGGGTTATACGCATGTATGATCAAGCATCCCAGATAATAGGTAAATCAGAGGTTAGGCAGCAGGCATTTCCCTCGTGGGTCATCACAGACTCTTTAGTCAGGTCCAGGGGTCCCTTTAAGGTCAGCCAGGCACTCCACACAAAAACCTCCTCTCAGGGTGGCAAAGTGCTTTCTCTGTGGGGATGATAGCTCCACATAGGAGCCCCAGAAAACAGATGCCAGAGATAGTGTAGTACTTTCCAAAAGTATTTTATTTATAAAGCGCTGCACTCTGATGTTTTATCATCATGAATACTGCTTCCAGGCTCATCCACCTTACCAACCGTTCAGTGTCTGCTACCCCTCTCTGCCAATCCCTCCACTGGCTTCCACTCGCACAGTGAATAAAATTCAAAATATTGACAACAACTTACAAAGCCATCCACAACTCTGCCCCCAGCTACATCACCAACCTGGTCTGAAAATATCAACCAAACCGCTCTCTTTGATCCTCCCAAGACCTTCTGCTCTCTAGTTCCCATGTCACCTCCTCCCATGCTCGCCTCCAGGACTTCTCCCGAGCTCCCGAGCTTCTCCCATCCTATAAAACTCCCTACCCTAATCTGTCTGACTATCTTCTAGTCTATCCACCTGTAGACGATCCCTGAAAACCTTTCTCTTTATAGAAGTCAGAAGAATTAAGCCAAATTGGAGTTTTCCAAACTTACCTGAGGAAGCCAAAATCCTTTTGGGAGAACTGTGGACAGACGAAACAAAATTACAGCTTTTTTGTAGCCCATCATTCTACTGTTTTCAGAAAAAGAAATGAGGCCTTTATAGAAAAGAATACAATCCCTATAGTCAAACATGGTGGAGGTTGCTTTGCTGCTTCAGGCACTGGATGTCTTAACCGTGTACATGGCATTATGAAATCTGAAGACTACCAAAGAATTCTGGGCTGCAAAGTAGGGCCCAGTGTCAGAAAGTTGGGTCTCCGTCAGAGGAATGGGTCTTACAGCAGGACAATGACCCAAAGCACCCATCAAAAGGCACCCAGAAATGGTTTCAGACAAAGTGCTGGAGAGTACTGAACTGGCCAGCAATGAGTCCAGATCTCAATCCCATAGAGCATCTGTGGAGAGATCTAAAAACAGCAGTTGGGAAAAGGAGCCCTTCCAATCTGAGAGACCTAGAGCAGTTGTCGAATGAAGAGTGTTCCAAAATTCCATTAGAGAGGTATAAGAAACCCATTGATGGTTACAGGAAGC